TCACTATTCATTCAAAATTTATTTATACACGTTAATCCCATTGAGCCTCAGGGACTCATTTACAAATGAGACCTGATTTCTTTAACAAAGAGTGATAACAGTGGATAACAATGACAACAATAGACAATAATAAAAGAGGCATACAAATTTATTTATTTATTTATTTTTACAAATTAATATAAAATGGCAACCAAAAAGACAGTTGAAAGTAAGAAGTAGCAAAAAAACAGCTAGATTATAAGGTGGTGTAGAAAACTAAGAACAGGAACATGTCTGCATTGGCTCTTGCCAGAAACTTAACAGATGTTTAAAGCCACTTAGAGAGCTCAAGGTCAAGAGCTTCTTAGAGTTACTAGAAACTAGTTCATGCATTTGTCACGTCTAGACCAGACTATTGCAATGATTTGTTATCTGGGTGTCCAAATACTTCTTTAAAAAGTCTTCAGTTGATCCAAAATGCTGCTGCCAGAGTCTTAACTGGAGTTACTGGGAGAGATCATATCTCTGCAGCAGCAGAACTGGGGAGTTAAAGGAAGTTAGAGGTGGACTGTGGTTAGTCCCAGAACACAGCAGAGGAATAAAACAATTTCCTGTTTAAAAGGTTTTACAACTTTGATCTTCGGTAACAAAACCTCTGAGAACATTTTTCACATTAGTCTCATTCTGTAACTGAGATACCACGAAGGATTCATCCATAATGGTACCCCTCTCTCTGTACTCCGGTGAAGACAGACGTGTTTTCCCAGTGCTCTGTAACACACACACACACACACACCCCACCCACACACACACACACCCCACCCCCCGCTTCCCTGCTTGGAAGTTCCCTGTTCCCTGCTGGAAGCCAGGGATATTGCCTTCAGGTCTGGAAACTCACAGGAGCTGAGAAGGACAAGGAAAGAGCTGGTTGCTGGTATTAAGCAACCCAAGGCCACATATGCACAGAGGATCGAGGGTCAGTTCACCTCACAAGACCCTCGGAGCATGTGGAGGAGCATTAAGTGTATAACCGATTATAAAGGCAGAAGTGAACAATGCCTTAAAGACCCATCTCTGCCTGATGCTCTCAACAAGTTCTATGCACGCTTTGAAGACCCAAACAGACCACCCAGCACCAGACTCACCTCAGCACCGGATGAAGAGCATCTCAGCGTGACCTCAGCAGAAGTAAGGAGTACTTTCAGGAGGATTAACTCTCACAAAGCAACCAGCCCAGACAACATCCCCAGGAAGGTGTTGAAATAATGTACCAATCAGCTCTGTGAGGTGCTGGCAGACATCTTTAACACCTCACTTACCCTGGCAACAATTCCCACCTGCCTGAAGACTGCCACCATCATCCCAGTCCCAAAGAGCTCTACAGTGACTGGTCTGAATGACTATTGGCCAGTGGCCCTCACCCCAATAGTCATTAAATACTTTTAAAAACTGGTCATAACTCACATCAAAACAACCATCAACATCAACGAGGACCCTCATCAGTACGCATGCCATGAGAGGACAGAGGACAACAGAGGACGCCGTCTCCTCTGTGGTCCACACTGCTCTCACCCACCTGGAGCAGAAAGACTCTTAGCATCCGTATTCTCTTTGTGGACTTCACATCTGTCTTCAACACCATGATCCCCCAAACCCTGATGGACAAACTATTCACACAAGGACTAAGCCCCTCCATTTGCAACTGGGTACTAGACTTCTTAACAAACAGGCCGCAGTCAATGAGGATCCACAACTTCTCCTCCTCCACCATAACCCTCAGCACTGGCTCTCCTCAGGGATGTGTGCTGAGCCCTCTCCTGTTCACTCTGCTCACATATGATTATGCAGCTACCCATCCAGGCTGTCACATTGTAAAGTTTGCAGATGATACAGTGGTGGTGGGATGCATCACAAACAATGATGAGTCCAGCTACAGGCAGGAGGTGGAACACCTGGAGAGCTGGTGCAAAGAGAATAACCTTCACATCAATGTGAAGAAGACAAAGGAGATGATTGTGGACTTCAGAAGGAACAAACACATCTACCACCCCTGAATATAAGAGGGTCTGCAGTGGAAGTGGTCTCCAGCTACAAGTACTTGGGCATGCACCTGAATGACAATGTTACAGCTTACCAATTATCTCGGATGAGCCCCCAATTGTTACAACCGGCAAAAACAAGGGCTTGTTGCGCCAGGTTGTAATTGGGGTTTGGGCGTTTCCATCCTCTGTACACCTCAAGGAGCCATGGAGTCTGATGAACAAGGTTAACAGTGTTTATTTTCAAGGTGAATGATTGAATATTTACTTTGTACACAGGAGTCTTACCAGACTTCAGGGTGAGCCTCAGGCCAAAATAACAAACAAAACGAACTATTTTTCCTCCTATTTTTAACGCTTACCTAACAAATCAAAAGTAACAAAAATACAGGTCTCTTACCTGATCTAAACTAACAAAAACAGGAGAAAAAGGATCTTAGCTAAAATGGCAGCTCATCCCTACAAGAACTCCTTACAAAAACTAAATTAATTTAGCTAAGCGATGGACAGCAGGTCAGCTGTGGCTGGTTGGGACACGCAGAGTGGATGGAAAGCCGCTGTCATCTCCAACTCAGCTCCTCTTATTGTGCAGCACATCCAGGCAGGCAGCCAATCACAGCTCCTTTCAGCACTGTCTTCCTCCAGCTGCACACCTGGGCACTAATTGGCACAATTAGGGCTTTGCACACTCACACACATTCAACTTACGACTGGGGTCATAACAACAACCTCAGCTGGGGCAACACCACCACCAGCCTGATGAAGAAAGCTCATCAGAGACTCTACTTCCTCAGACGGCTGAGACGAGCTGGTCTGGAAGCTTAGTCCTCACCTCCTTCTACAGGTGTGCAGTGGAGAGCATCCTGTGCTCCAGCATCAACGTGTGGCATGGCGGCTGCACAGCTGCAGAAAGAAAAGCTTTGCAGAGAGTGGTGAAGGCTGCACAGAAGATGTTGGAGTCAGTCTCCCCACCATCACAGATATCTACACCTCCAGATGCAGGAAGAGGGCCACCTGCATCATGAAGGACCACACTCACTCAGCACACACACTTTTTGTCCCACTCCCCTCAGGAAGGAGGTTGAGGAGCATTAAGTGTAGAACCACTAGACTCAGGAACAGCTTCTACCCTGAGGCTGTTAGACTCATGAATCTTTAGTCAGGATGGTCACTGTGAAAATCACTGAAAAAAAAATCCCTGTAATGCCACTTGGTTGTTGATATGTGCTGCTGATTATCCATGATGGTGACCTCATGCTGCTGATTATCCATGATGGTGACCTCATGCTGCTGATTATCCATGATGGTGACCTCATGCTGCTGATTTGTTTCATGTTGCTGTGTTCATTCGTCCTCATCTACTCACACAGACTCATGTTCGTGCTGCTGTTGTTTGGCGCATTGTTATGTACTATTAGTGCTTAGTGTATTCTTAATTTAGTGTATTTCTTAGTTCATGTATTGGATCTTATTACTGTTTTTCTTTACAATTTGTATTTTTGTTGGATGTAAATGGGACCCTGTGTACATAGTTTCATTCCACCTCCACATATGGTGGAATGACAGTAAAGAACCTTGAATCTTGAATCAGAACATGTTTCTACCTCATGTACCACCTACACATGTACTAGCACATGTCTCTAGTCTTGTCTCTTAATTACTTGTTTAGATTAGAATGTTTAGATTAGGTTAGATGTATTTTTTACATTTTTTATAGGTCTGTTTGTATTTATTGTTCTGTTGTGTATGTGCACTGTGTGTTGTTTTGTTTTTCACGTTATGTTCTGTGTTGCACTGTGATCCTGGGGAACACTGTTTCATTTCAATATGTACTTGTACGTAGCTGAAATGACAATAAAACCTCTCTGGCTCTGACTCAAGATGTTCACTCCATGCTTCCTTGAGCCATATGACCTCTGTTCCCACACTCAGGCTGTTTATCAGGTCTTTTTAGCTCCTGTTTGCAGCTGGACCTGCCATGGCTCCATCAGAGGAACGTGACAGAGTCTGTATGTAAACTTAAGGGTGGACCAGACCCCACTCAGTTAGTAAAAAGATGAGTTCTTTGATTTACAAAATGAAGTGGTTCTCTGGAGCGCAGGAATAGTTCTGTAGGAGATTATAACAGTATCTGTATCCACAGTAGAGAGAGTGGCAAGACGGCCTCACACACTGTGTAGTTCCTCCTAGAGTGGGAGATCTTTGGTGGAACATCAGATATCAACAAGAGATTACCAGGAGGCAAAGCTTAGGAGAGGACATCACTTACAGCAAGGAAAACCTGGAACACTAGAGGCACAGGAAGAGATCACAGTTAGGTTTTCTAAAGACAAGACAAGTCTTCTCTCACTAAACCGGACTGGCATGAAATGTTCCAGTGGAGAACAGCTGACACCTTAAAGACAAGACCTTATCAGCCAGGATCAGGAACATCTGGAGGTGGTTCAGCCATCCTGCCTCTCAGAGGCTGAGTGGACTGGTGATTTCTACAGAAGCTGTGTGAGCTTCATTGAAGCTGCTGAAGACAGGTTCAGTCTGGGCTATGATTTGTTCACCAACATCTTTCACATCAGAGTCCAGTCATTGTTCTGGTTCTGGAGTTCCTTTCTGGACTCAACGAGGTTCAAAGTCCTGTCGCCTGAAACTTTGTTCCAAAAATGTCTGCTAAATATTTTGTCTACAAACTGTCACGGAACTGTTCTGGGTCTCCAACAACATCTGGATTCTGACATGTCAAAGATCTCTGAGCTTTGTTTACTTGTTGTTGTTGTTGTTGTTTTCATGTTAAAATATAAACAACATGTGAATCAATGTTTTGCACCTGTTAGTTGCTCTCCTCTGCATTGTATGAGTTTTGTTATAATTTTTTTTTTTAAATCAGTTTTTGGTCCTCCTGGCATTCCATCCTTCAGCTCTCATTTGGAGCACGTTTCAGTCTGAGGTCGTTTCAGATGAATCCTCGGGTGTTTCTCTCACTTCCAGAGTCCTATGTGGCTGATTTTGATGGCAGGAGCTCGCTGCTGTACCGGTTCAACCAGAAGTCCATGTCAACTGTGAAGGATGTGATTTCTCTGCGCTTCAAGAGTCACCAAGCTGAGGGTGTGTTACTGCATGGAGAGGGCCAGAGGGGGGATTACATGACCCTTGAGCTGCACCGAGGACGTCTGGACCTCTACCTGAATCTGGGTGAGAGCTGAAAACACCTTGTTTTATGGGTTCCTCTGATCTTCTGGGCCTCCTTGTGCTGATTGTGAGAATAATTGGCTGAGACTAAGCCACAGAATGAGAACTGCATTCAGGAGGAAGCCTTCATGATTGACTCCACATTTCATTCACGGCTTTGCTTCAACAAGGAGAGCAATACATTTGTTCTTCAAATCGCTAAATCTGAAGACAATAGTTCAAAGATTGTATGATTTTTTTCATTTGGCAACAATTTGAAAACAGATGGGAATGATTATGTCCATGAAGAGGTTAATTTCTGTCTGGACCCCCATTATATGACCTGTTTTTGAGCATTAATTGACGTAGTTGGTTCGTTAATTGATGTGTTTTTGTCTGTTAATGGACCCTTTTTTGGGTGTTAATTGATTTGTTTTGGGAGGTTTATTGAATGGTTCTGGAGCATTAGTTGGCATGCCTTGGGACGTTAATTGACATGTTTTTGGCTGTTAATTTACCATTTTTGAGGGTGTTAATTGACCTGTTTTGTCGTGTTAATTGACCTATTTTCTGTGCGTTTATTGACCTGTTTTGGAGCATTTATTGACCGGCTTTGGGGCGTTAATTGACTTGTTTTGGGATGGATTTTTTTAATTTACCTGTTTTAGTACGTTAGTTGATGTATTTTGGGTTGTTTATGGACGTGTTTTGGGGTGTTAATTGACCTATTTTGGAGCTTTCTTAGACCTATATCATACCATACCATTTTATTTATAGAGCACTTAAAACAGCTACAAGGCCAACCAAAGTGCTGTACAGACAGAACAACAGGTAACACACAAAGCAAAATACAAAATGAAGTAAATCAAAAATATAGACATAAAAACGATGCAGATAATAAATATGATGACAAACCAGTGTGGAGCGTACAGGTTCACCACTTTTTGAACTGTTTTTGGACATTACTTGACCTAATTTTAATGTGTTAATTGACTTGTTTTGGGCCTTAATTTACGTGTTTTGGGGTGTTAATTTACATGTTTTTGGCAGTTAATTTACCCTTTTTTGGAGCGTTAATTGATCTGCTTTGAGGTGTAATTGACCTGTTTTTGGGGTGGTAATTGACCCGTTTTCTGTGTGTTCATTTAGGGTTTTTTTTTGTTGCCATTAATTAAGTGTTAATTGACCTGTTTTCTGTGTGTTAATTGATCTGTTTTGTGGTGTTAATTAACATGTTTTTGGTTGTTTATTGACCTTTTGTCTGGGTGTTAATTGATCTGTTTTCTGTTGTTAATTGACCATTAGCTGTTTTGTTTTGGGGCATTAATCAACCTGTTTTCTAGTTATTAATTGATCTGTTTTGGTCTTTTATTTGACATGTTTGGGGGCGTTAATTGACTTGTTTCATCGCATAAATGTACTTGTTTTAGAAAGCGTTTTGGACTCTTCCTCCTGCAGGTCCAGCTTTAATCTGACTGACCTGTTTGTGTTTGTGCAGATGACAGTCGGCCGAGGGTCAGCAGCCGCCGGGTTCCCATCACCGTGGGCAGCCTGCTGGATGACCAACACTGGCACTCCGTCCACGTGGAGCGTTTCAACAGACAGGTTAACGTGAGCGTGGACGCTCACACCCAGCACTTCCAGACCAAAGGAGAGGGATGTTCTCTGGACGTGGACTATGAGGTGAGCTGGATAAAACACCAACCCTCTGTAGATCTGCAGAACAGACTGACTGACTGGAGCTGCTGCAGATCACATTCAGACACAATAAAAACAGAGGACTTTGTCTCGCTTCTTTAAAGAGCTTTGATGAACAAATTCATCTTTTCTTGAGGAATGTATTTAAACTCTTAACAACTTTATCTTCAGTTTCAGTAGAGATGCAGTGGATTATGAGATATTTTGCTAATATACAGAGGGGAATTTCAGTTTGAAGCAGAGATTGTGCAGTGAGAAGCCCTTGGACTGTGTGTTGTGAACCCCTCTCAGCTACTACCATTCCACATTTATCAAAGCATCTGTGTAGTTTGAACAATAAATATTGTGTGTGCATATATATATATATATATATATATAT